CGATTTACAACAGCTACAAATTTATTTTTCTACCTACGAAGATCGTAGGTTCCTATAATACACACGTAATCTGCGGTGGGTTCGAGGTAGGTATATGGCCCGTTTTTTGGGGTCTTTAGTCCTGATAATGAACCCTTATAGTTTCATCATGTCGTCTGTCCATCCCCGGTTTTGCTTTAAAACTGTTAGCACTAGAGAGCCTTTATTATGTGAAGATGTGTATATATCAATCATGCCGACAACATGGTAGAATAAAAATTTGAAATATATTTTTTTAGGGTAGCCCAACTAGTGGGTTATCGTTGAATAGGTCCTTTAATATAACTTCTGGGTTTCTAAAACTATTTTTCAATTAAGGGATCCATTTGCGGAATAGTGAACTTTAAAGTGCTAATTTTTGTTCGTGTAAGGCATTCCCCACCATCTAAAAGCTAAACTATGGGCTTGAAAACCTGGAAAAATTCATGATATGCTCTTCATGAACTTTTAAGGAAAATTATAATAGTTCATAAATTTGTTAATATACTAATCGTCGTTCAACTTTTGTACCTATTAGAAAATTTCTGACCTAATAAAGTTGTTAAAGTTAATAAAGTTGAAGAAAACATTAACAGTGACTTAGACAAAGTAATAACTTAAAATATAGACGTCTCTAACCCTTGTTGCGGTTGTGTGAAATAATGAATAAGTTTTATAATACCCGTTTTTAATAATGAATGCCATTTTTAAGGTTTTATAAAGAAAAAACCTAACATGTTAAAATAATCAACAATAATAGAAAAACGGCAAGAGTCACAAAAAAAGTTTTAGCTAAAAAAGTTAGGGAATTCAGTAATAAACAAAAAAATACTAAGTACTAAGTAAAAGCAATTTTAACCGTAAAGTCAATAATTTCTGAGATATAGCAAACGCGATTTCCAATATGGCGGCCAGTGTGACCACCCTACATTCCCCGATTTTTAAAATTAGGCTTCTTATAACCTTCCCTAACATCTGTAAAAAACTAGAGTGTGGTAAAATTTTGCATTACGATCAAGTATAAACGCGATCTCTATTTCTTGGGCTAAATAGTTTTTATCAGAGAAATCCTCATTTTCACTTCCTAATATAATGATTTCAGAAAGAAGACGTCCGTTAATAGACAGACACGGTTTCGCATTTATAATATTAGTATCTATGGAATTGGTCAGAACTGGGCTTCCATCAGTTTAGTTTTTAAACTAACAGCCACAAAAGTACGGATTCTAAAATCGCACTTTCAATGTCGACTTGTTCTGTATTCATTTCGTTAGGTATCAAATGTATTTTACCGTGTGCATTTTCCATCAGCTTGTTTTGTAGTCCGTCAAAATGTTAGTAGAAATGAAACAAAATTTATATTTCATGCTGTTTATTTTGTAAAAAAAATCCAATCCGAATGAGCTCGCTTAATTTAACATTACGTTAGACATTATTAGACATGTAATATCTACATTTATGTTTAAGATTTAAATACATTATGGCAGAACTACACTTATCTTTCGTTGTGACGCGTCAGAGAGCTATAGGTTTCATACATTTATCATGGTCAGCGTGAGAACGCTGTCGACACATCGCGACACAGAAGTATACCTATTCCAGCCATAAGTTCTGTTATAAATGATAATGCATTTTTTTTAATGAACTAATGTAATATTATTAACATTTATACCTACATATTTATTAAAGTCTCAGCAAAAAATAAAAAAAAATATTATTCAAAATGGCCACTTTTGGCTTTTCTACAGGCCTTTAATTTGTTTGGCGACGAATCTTCAGTTCTCGCAATAAGATTTTTTGCTTCCTAATGGGGTTTCGACGAATTCTGGCTTTAACAGCATTAACAGCCTTTGTAGTTCTAACAGCACGCGGCCGCCCCGATCTTTTCTAGTCTTCGACAGACGAAGTGTTGTTGTATCTGTTGATAGTACGATATACGAACATGCGGCTGATACAAAGCTTTTGAAGTGTCTGGAATATGACCGACGGGTTCACACCCAAGGCGATCATATTGTAATTTGATAATGAACACGAAAAAATATCTGAAATGGCGCAAAATCGTAAGATGTTTTTTTTTAAATAACAGACGTGTTGCAAATTTAATATAATTATAAAATTGGAAAAAAAAGTTTTGATGTAACAGTATTTAAGGCCAGACTAGTTAATTCTAATCGTACTAAATGTATGAAATCGATAACTCTCTGATGCATTACAACACAATACGGCACATAAGTATATTTCTGCTATTATTCAATTTCATTTGTATTATTAATCTATTCATACCAATTCATTCTTTCTCCACCTTTAAAACAAAAGAGGCGTGAAGATTAATGGTCGTAACTAGGGATGCAAAGTGTTTTGAAATATCGATATTGATATCGATATTTATATCGAAGTCAGGAAAATATCGATATCCGATATATCGACCATTTTAACTCGATATTATCGATATATCGATATTTTTTTCTTTTTTTTTGCTTTGTATTAAGTTTTTAAAGCAAAAACCTAAAATTAAGGAAGCAAAGGTTTCCAAAATATCATTATTTATAATGTGGGCAGGTAAATATCGATATCCGATCCGATATATCAGCCATTCCAACATTTGCAACACGATGTTGAATGAAGAAGTATCAAATCAAAAGCAACTTCGAATCAAAGATATTTATTTTGTTTAAAATGTTAAAACATCATGGGCACATGGCTTCAGAATAGGGTAAGCCCAAAGCTTCCAAAATTACTATACCTATCTTACTTTCTTGACTTGGCAAGCTTAAAAAAATTACGATTTGTATGAGATTCTTAATTTTATTTTGTGTAATATTACAATGATATTAAATTTCAATTAATCAGTAGTTGACAAATATCTTGAAAGAGAGGCAAGGATTTTATTTAATGCATGAGTTACCATTAGGTAAACGATTATACCTATATACGTTGGTGTCGATTCTGGCATATCTAAACTTAAAACTAAATTTAACATCAGTCTCTCCTTTTAATTCTGTATAGAGAATGACAAGAATACACTGTTGTCAAATTTAATTTTAGATTTAGAGAATCATGCCAGAATCCACACCAGTTTAGTATATTTGTTGGGGTTCAAGATTTTTTTAATACATCTATAAGCAATAGTTATTTCGATATTATTCCATTTAGATAGTCATAGCAGGTAAATTAATTGATATTATTGTGTTCAAATTTAGTCTACGAAATATCGATATTTTGAAATTTCCGATATCGATATTATCGATATCAGTGAATTTCAAATATCGATATAAATATCGATATTTTGGTCTCGATATTATCGATATTATCGATATTCCGATATATCGTTGCAACCCTAGTCGTAACAGACAAGCTCTTGTCGCGAGGCGAGGTGATTGCGTTACGATTCTAGGAAGTTTCATACAAAGAATTCTGAATGGCTCGATTTGATAGAGTGACGATGCCTTTCCGAGTTGATATTTCTGCTACGACCATTAAGTACCTATTTGTAAAGCTTAAAGACTAGAGAATTTCCAATTTTCCATGTAATGTAACTTATTTAAAATTTCTATTTTAACACGATTGCAATAAAATGGAGCGTAATGTTATTACATTCTTGACGCTGCTATCGGTAATGTATAATACTCATGGTAAGGGATAACCTGTAGCAATTCTTTTTATTCTGCATACCTACGCCTTTTTTAAATGTTTGACTTTGTATGAAATTTAAAGACGCAGTCGTGCTCAATATTCGACTGGCGACTGGCTGGCGAAAATGTTATAAATTTTTGCAGCTCTATTTTCTGGTACAAAGAAAATGAATGATCTTTAGTCTTTTTCACAAGGTGCACCAAATGACTCTGATGTTAAGTGTTCGGGCCAGATTTTAATCGGATGTTTCAGTTTCAGTTCATTTTATATGAAGCTATCTGCATTTGTTGGAAACCGATTTTGTGTCGGAGGCCACAAGAAATGACTGGTGTTCTGCTAGCCTTCGCACCCGAAAATAAAATGTGTCTGATTTCACTCCCCTTAGAGTGAGTATAGGGCTGTTGTATCTAAGTTAGGGCAGCGGTAATTATAGTACCTATAATTAGTATGGGGGTGCAAGGTTTGCAAGGAGCAAGGAATTACAAGATTTGCAAGGTGCAAGGAATTAGTTCAATGGTATTTTAAGGTATTACATTGCCCCCCCCCCCTAGCTATGGCTCTGAGTCAGTGTCAATTGTAGTCAGCATTCAATCCTCTAAGCCTGCGAAAGCTTTCTAACCAAAAAAAACATCACGTGAATATTGTTTATATATTTTTTCACAAATACAATTTATTTCTAATACCCCGCAAAACCACTTCTTATGATGATATTGTCTTCAGTAAACTTCATCTAAGGATGTATGTGAATTTTCTTTTATACCAAAGTTCATTTAAGTAATATTATATTACTTGACACCGCTTGCAACTAATATTGGGCAGAACATTAAGATATTTTTATAATTATCTAAGTAGTTCGTCTTAATACCTACTTCAAATATTCATAATAATAATAATCATATAAAATATAAATAAATAGGCGATTTTATTGCAACAATGGTGGTTTGTGTTACTGCCATGGAAAAACCGGAGTGTATTTCCTTCAACGCTTTTCCTTTTTCCGCGAAATAGAAATTGAAAAGTAAGCCATCAATTTAAAACTCGATCTCCCCTTGTATTAACCAAAGTATAAGCTTGAAAGGCTTGATGGCAGAGTGTTTAGCACGTTCGGTCGGTTACGATATACGAATTTTAAATGGAGTATTTGTAAACGTAGCTATAATAATGCTCGTCTGCTTGGGTTATTATTATAGTTGTAGGATATTGTATATTATTTTGTAAATAAGAAGATAGATTCGTCTTCCCGTATTTTGGTTTCTTTTTATTAATGACAGTTATAATTTTGTAGCAGTGACAATATAAAAAATGTCTTTCAAAAAACCACAAACTAAACGAAAAGTTCTAATGAAATTAAACAGCGCGTACTGAGACTCGATCACGAACTTTGAGTAAAACTGTACTTACTGGGCCCAAGAGGTGATTACTTGACGTTATTTTTGAAAAGGTCTCTATTAACGAAATTGCGTTATGGTCACAACACTAACCTAACTTAAACTATTGAGACGTATCACGTCATGGGCCCAGGAAGTACAGTATATCTGAACTTTGACAGCTACGTAATCGTATCGCATCGGCAAAGTTTCTATGTAAACTAAGCAGCACCCCTGCCAGACGTAAGAACAAACTAAAAAAAGAAATACGATGAAAATATGATTACGGATGTCACAGTTCGTGCATGGGCTTCTTCTATACGTAGGTTGCGACGTTTCATTCAGTGAGTGGCTGAGTCGCAGCGAACGGTGCTCACGCTTTGCGGCTTAGTTAGCTCACTAGTCACTACCCCACGACAACGGCTAACTAGAGCCGAGGTCCGAGTTTCAGAGACGCCCTCTAGTTGGAGCCGACCCCCTCAGGTTCGAGTGGTCTAGTGGCTCCAGACGGAGAAGAGACTGCCCCTGTGGAGAGATGCCATCCGCCTGGAATACCTCTACAGGCACTAAAAAAAGCGCCGGCGTAGCGCGCTATTAGTTGGTCCGTGGAAGTCGAAGCTAAGCGTTGTGTTTTTTGAAATGTATGTTCATTTAAGACCTCCAAATCAGCGATCACTTCCAGAATAATAAAGAATTGTCAAATTTAATTTCAACATCCATGGCGTCAAACACTATCAGCCGCAACACTGATATTTACAACCGTCTTCCCTTCCAATAATACGTAAGCGCTTCGCGGTTAATACGCTACAGATCGCCGCCGAAAGCATTGAGTTAACGCCGCTCAGATTCAGTCAGTCAGCCGCTAACAGGGAGCCTAAAAGGGACAACGCCTGAAGCCGTTGGTCCTGGCTGCATCTGCAGTCATTAGCATCCACCAAACACGTTGTGAGTCTTCCCCCTCCTTCTTTTATCAATAGGGCAGACTTCGGCTCTAGCAGCGGGGCATTAATAGGCTGATCATGATGAAAATAATGAAGTTTAGACTACTAACACAGTGATACGTCTCCAGTGCCGTCTTTGACCTATTGGAGGCCCTGGGCATATTAGGATAATGGGGCCCCTATGAACTAGGGACTTTGTAGGGCCCCTATTGATCGCGGGGCCCTGGGCACTTGCCCAAAGTGCCCAATGGGAACGACGGGTCTGTACGTCTCTGTTCATCGATTTACAAATGTCATTTCCATAAAAACTAGTCATTTTAAATTATTTCCTTTAATAATGGTGGCAAAGGATGCAAATCTGTAGGTAAGGTAGGAAAATGGTGGCAAACAAGTATATGGCTGGCCTGTTGATAAGCAGCCACCAAAGCAAGACGCTTGCGGTACCAAAGCTGTCCCTCACGCTGTTGTCTACGCTGACCCTAACCCCTATCCTTATCTACTTTGTTATTTTTGAAAACTGGGAGCTTTAATTTGTAACTCTTATATTATTTTATTGTTTAAGGCTATAGATACTGTCCAAAATGTTATTGAATAAATAAAACACGATTTAAATATTATAATTTAAAATCCATGTCGCGGTGCAGACGTAGAAAGAAGTGTTAATCGATAAAAAGTAATTTATAACAATATAAGCGTTTTTAATCTTTTAAATATATATATATATTATATGTATTATGATATTCGTTTAACATGATTTACACAACAGAAGCTTGAAAGCAGCATAAATTATATTGATGCACAAAACCGATCATACATTTTCAAAATGCACATGTGACATGTTCAAAACACACATGTGACATGTTCAAAACGAACACGTGACATGTTCTCGCGGTGTGTTCAAATCGCAGATTTGACATGTTTAAAAGGTAGCGCTTGCAAAACGAATAGCAACACTATCTCTTAAAATTACCAGTAAGAATGAACACTGTATAATAATAGTTGAACGAAATTAAAAAAACTCCATTAGCTTATCACTCTATCGATCTGTCATCTCATTCTTAAACATTTTTAAACACAAACAATAATTACTGCTATTTTATTAAATACAGAAACTTAATTCGATTTTTGAAAGTTGTAAACACTTATTATTTTTTGTTTTCTTTTGTGATTAGGATAGGGATAGATTAATTGAGTGCACTATGAAGTAATTTACTATTACTAGCTATCTACCTAATCGACTCGAGCAGTTCTCATTTTTTAAGTTTCGTTTCGTTATTCAGCCTTATACAGCGCAAAACTTACATAGTGCGACGGACATTTAGTTTCAAACATTTTCTTCACATATAACACTTTTCAACACACATCAACAAATCCACAGTTCGTTTACACCAGCTTGCATTCTTCCCAATGACCAGTGTGCTAGAGGAACTGTTCGGCCATCACATGATTGTGACCTTTTTTCGCCTGCCCTCATGGAATCGATGTTTTCAGTCTGAAACAAAACAAATTTAGTTTTCGTTAATTTCTTGTGTAGCTGTCGACTCATCTACAAATATCGTTCATCGTCGTCAATTCCTTATTTTAGAAGCTCAATGCCGTATTAGTAATCACATTCGATCTGCTATCGTTGAACTTTTAAGTAACTTTCTTAATAGTAGGGGTTTCCAGGCGGGAATTTTGGGATTTACTCATATGCAGTAGAATAACACAAGGGGGCAAACTTGCCCCTTGTGAAGTACTACCACCATACCTGTGCACTTTATATGTATAATGATAGGTTCGAAGTTCGAACACTGGAACGTCTAGGGTAAGAAAAAAAAACAACTCAACAATATGCCATGACTTTTGATTGCATCAACATCGTCAGTCTTTTGAATAGGAGCTACTGGAGGGTTCAGGTAACGTTTTGATGACGGAAAAATATTAATCTGCCGGTTTGCATGATATTGAGTGGGGGTGGCCGTACGAAAGGGTAGAAAATAGAAAAAAACGAGCTTGTCACAGATTAAGAAGGTCCTATTCAAAATATTGAGGATTTGGACACGACTAAAAGTCATAGCAGATTGTAGAAATTGTTTTGCTGCTCTAGACGCTCGATCTAGAAGGTATGTGGTATAGTATAGTATGGTGGGAGTACTTCACAAGGTGCAAGGTTGCCCCCCTTATGTTATACTGCTGCGCACGAGTAACTTCCAAAATCCCCGATGGGCTCCTACCATAATGAGCGGTCACAGGATGTGTGGCTATCTCGAGTTCCTCCGTGCTTCGGCTGTTGTTTCCGGTTGCATCTGCAGTCGTCAAGCACACACAAATCATCCTGGGCTAATACTGAGGACTGGCGAATTTAGTTGGCTATATGATGATGTGTTTTGTTGTAGGGAATTTATGTGTATTATTTTGTCTAGGAGGCTTTTTAACCGACTTCAAAAAAGAAGGAGGTTCTGTGTTCGACTGTATAATTTATTTTTCATCCCACCACCTCGGAAAGTGTAATTTTGCGCTTCGAAATCTGGCTGGAAAATTCTATTTTATTCGCTTGAGCGGCAAAGTAGATTTGAATTTAGAACATCACATATAATGAGTACTCAATATAATTGTAAATTCAAAACGTCATTAAACCTATTTAATGTAACCTCTATGGTGCCAAATTTATGATTAGAACTTTTTAAATTGTGAAAAAATTTAAATTTGGAACCTTCTTGGTTTCTTTGTTTTATTTGCGTGCTTCGCGCCATTCTAGTTTTTCACGTTTTATTGCTTAATATAATTAACATAACCTAAAAACTGTACAAAAAAATCAACTAAAATGAGTGACATTAGCGACGATGAAGTTTATCTAACGCCAACTGAGTTATCTGAAACAGTTAATAATGCGCAAATGAGCCTTCTCCCTCAGCAATCACGAGAGAAGTATTTGAAACAGTACGATATATTTAACATGTGGCGACTAGCTAAAGGAGCAAAAACTTTCTCCGAAAACGTTTTGCTGGCATATTTTATAGAATTATCTGAGACCAAGAAAGCAAGCACGCTATGGAGTACGTATTCAATGCTAAAATTAACAATTAAGATGAAGAAAGACGTTCATATCGACACCTATCATAAATTAGTGGCATTTTTAAAAAGAGCCTCATCTGGTTATAAACCAAAAAAATCGAAGGTTTTCACAGCATCTGAAATTGCAAAGTTTATTAATGAAGCACCTGATTCCGTATATTTAGCGGCAAAAGTAAGTCAATACGTGTAATTTTTTGTTGTTGATAAAATTGTACATAGTACTTACAATATTTTTAATTTGATTAATTTATTTACGATTATAAATACTTCTTTTGTTACAGGTTGTTCTTATTATTGGTATAACCGGAGCATGTCGAACAAATGAACTTACACTACTTAATGTCAATAACGTATCAAAATATTCTCATAATTCTGATGAATTGCTATTAATTAATGTACTAAATACCAAGACAAAAAAAGACCGCAACTTCGTTATTCGCAAGGAATATGTAAACATTGTTCAGAAATATCAAGCTTTACGTCCTTCTAACACCCCAATTGAACGATTTTTTCTACAATATCGCAACGGAAAGTGTATCCGACAACCTATGGGTCAGAATAAAATTGGCAGTATTCCACGAGAAATAGCAACTTTTCTCGGACTTTTAGAACCCCCGTTATACACCGGTCACTGTTTTAGAAGAACCTCAGCCACACTTTTGGCCGAATCAGGGGCTGATCTTCTATCGCTTAAGCGCCATGGAGGCTGGAAGTCTAATTCGGTTGTAGAGGGATACATAGAGGATTCAATCCAAAGTAAATCAAAAATTTGTAATAGTATCGTGGAGGCCATAACGCTGAAAGAACCTCTGTCAGATTCTTGGTCTCGCCCTTCTACATCTAAAATGAGCCCCCATAAGATTGGAAACAATAGCCCTCTCTCGCCAACATTTACGCCAATAGAATCCAATGAATCGGCACAACTATTTAAAATTACTGATACGAGTAGTTTACCACAAAACAGCGCACAATTCACAAACACCAACATAACATTACCTAACAAAAATATTAAACTTAACATAAGTAACTGTAGCAACGTTACATTTAATATTTCTTAATTATTTTCTACTTCTTATTATTTTCTTCAATTTATAGATTATCTTAATGTGTTTTAATTGAAATAAAAATATTTTGTCATTATAAATTGTTTTCTTTTTCATTTTGTCATTTCCTCGCTGAGGTGGGATGAAAAGTTACGTATTGCACTCGAGTGGAAAGATTTTTCACCTTGTGCTCGTTTGTTTCCCTCGCTGACGCTCAGGATTCTAATTTAGAATCACTCGCTGCGCTCGTGATTCAACTTTAGAATCCTTCGCTTGCTCGGTCATCCAAATCGAGCACGCGGTTAAAAAGGAACTTTCCACTCTTGTATAATAAATAACTATTATTTTATGAATGTTCACCGATTTCTCCGTCAATTGTAGATTTCCAAAATTTATTTTTTTATTCGAAATAGTGTACTTCCGAGGTGGTACCATTAGAATCAAGTCAGGATCTGCCCTGATCTGGTGAAATCCAGGGAAACCTTCAAATTTCAACGCAGGATTTTTTATGCGTGTTCACCGATTTTTCCGTCAATTGTGGACCGATTTCCCGAATGTCCAGAACGCACAGCAATGAGAAAATGCTAGTTGTGCTCGGAATCATTCATAAACTCTAATTAGGCATTTGTTGAGATACGGACAACTTGATGAACCGTGGCCTACTACAGAATGTATTAGATTTTGAGGTTATAAATTATTATACATAATCGTAAAAGATGTACACTTTATATATTCTGAATAGATTTAGTGTTTACCTCTATGTAAGCACTTAAATAATATGCATTAAATTAACATAAAATGCAATTAATAATAAAAATAAGAAATGTATATATTTATATTGATTTATAAGTATTGGCAGTTGGCACCTATGATACCTATACCTACCTGTTGTAATAATAGATTTCTTTTCAAATGAAATGTTCAAAGGCTTTCTATTTACCTGTTTCTATATTTTATTATCGGTAATTAGGTATGTACCTTATTATCATTATGATTTTCATAAATATCAACAGATATAATATGGGATGGGAGTATAAACTATCTTTACATAATTTCAGAAATTATCTTTTTAAAAATATTATATTATATATACTAGTGATAAGTATTATTTACTAAGGATTAACTAAGGTACCTAGTTCTATTCTTATGTTAATAAATACCTATGGTCGCCTATATTGCATTTATTAAGGCTATCTATTCAAAATGGAATAGAATTGAATGAAAATAAAGCACTTGTATTTGGAATAATTTTGTGAACCTCATTGGCGGAAGCTTTTGAATTTAGATGAGACAGTTTCTTAAGGCTCTAAAGATGACATGACAGGCAAATTGGGTACAGTCTGTTCATCCTAACTTGTCCTATTTGGTAAACAATCTTGGCACAATTTAACAAAATCAACCATTTAAAACCGTCATTATAGACTGAAACTAGTTAAGTATCAGTTGATTTTTTATGCTGTATTTTCAATAAAAAGTAGTGCCAAGATTGTTTACCAAATAGGACAAGTTAGGATGAACAGACTGTAGTATCTAGTAACAGACCTTTATTTTTTATTTTTTTAAACAGATTGTCCGTTGATGACTATGATTAATTGCTAATAAATTAAAAAGATAATAGAAAAATAATAGTGGAAGACTTTCTTTTGTGCATGCTGGGGCCGAAGTCGGTTTTATTTTTTGTTTATTTTTTTTTATCAATGCTAACGAAGATAAAACTACGAAATGTGGAAAGGCAAGGATTAGGCAAGCAATTGTGAAAAGATTTTGCCAATTTTTTTGGTAAGCCACCATTTTTGGAAAGTGAATATTTAATTGGTCGTTCAAGTTGTTCTGGTTGTTTCTAACATTGTTTCAAAGTTTTATTTCAAAAAACTATAATTAAATTTGAAGCTTATAATATAAAGCTGTAAGCTAAATTTTAGGTTTTTTTTAACAATCGAATCTGAGTTAGAAACTAAAATTGATAAACCTAAAGCACCTTCACAAACAGAAAAAAACAAAAAAAAAACATTAATATATACATATATATTAAAATCAATATAATTAAATACTATTATTATCTCTAAAAAAACAATAAATGGGGCTTCAAAGTTTGTATGAACATCAAGATCGCGAGGTTAATTCTTTAACTAAATAAGTAATTACCACCTGAGTTTGACACTCATTTATTCAAAATCAAATCTAATGCAAGTATAACTGTTGGCAAAAGCTTATGAACGAAGTCTTAAAGTAATGATTGCACATTGTCTTCATTTGTACACGAGCGAAAACGTAATATCGTCGGAAAATATTTGATGCTAAGCATTCTTGTTATTACGCTCGTTTTGACTGCTAACGGTGCGCCGCCAAATCAGCTTCTGCAAAGATATGACTCTTTTTATCGCCCCCCTGGATTATTTCAACGAGTTAATATTCAGTTGGTGCAAAATTTTCAAATGAAAATGATATTCATAAGGCTTTATTCGCGCGTGAAGAGAGTTTCATGTCAATTTTTGTTTCATTGGATTCCGGTCACATTTCTTGAACATTTTCTTGGAACGGTAAGGTGATGCTGGGATGCACTTTTCCGTCTTTGTTCACATCAAATTTAACATATTTTCTTTGAAAATATACATTAAATATGATATTTATCAGCCATTAAATTCACATAACACCCTAGTGATTATCGGTGGATAAGAAAAAAACCGGACAAGTGCGGGTCGGGCTTGCCCACCGAGGTTTCCGTACATTTGTATGTACGCAGCATAAATGACCGTATCTTTTTGACGTGATAACGTCTTATAAATCGACGAATTCCGGCTGCACGCACGAGAAAGTGTGACGTCATATCGCGTTAAGTGACGACATGTCACGTTATGTGACATCATGTCACGAGTCACGAGTTAATAAATAATAATAAATAATAAATATTTACGACACTCACACCAATTAGCCTAGCCCCAAAGTAAGCACTGTAAGGCTTGTGTTATGGGATGCTAGGGTAACGGATAGAATACATATACAGTACATATATAAGTTTATTTATATAGAAATACATATTAAACATCCATGACTGGAGTACAAATGCTCGTATTCATCACACAAACATCTGCCCCCACCGGGATTCGAACCCGGGACCTCTCGAGTCGGCGACACCATGAAACCCGGCGTACAAACCACTCGACCACGGAGGTCGTCATTAGTTCATTAGTTGATCGTTCCGCGGTGTGTGTGAGGTGACATCAAGAGTTTGCTAACATCAGGTGGGAACGAGTTATTTATCTTAAATATTTGACAAAATAAAATACTACCGCTTAAAACAGTTTTTACACCTTAATACCTAATTCCTACTTCTAAACGCTACCTACGGAAAAGTTTAAAAATTACCCAGTCTAGCCTCCGAGCACTTGAAACGAGACCTGACTCAACAAGTTAAAGGAATCGACTTCAATTCTCTACTCAATTCAAGAGAAATACATACACTAATGAATAGTGTATTGAAGTATGCTTTAAATTCAAGGGACTTAGATGTAACGTCGTCATAGCTAAATGGTAACAACCAAGGTCTTTATAAATTTGCTAATAACAGAAAAAATACTGTCAGTGTTTGTTATACCTGATATGCGACCGGTGCACAGTGCACTAAAACTTAGTTTTCAGGATTTTCGATTTCATTTCAAAAGTTTACTGGAAAGTGTAAATAGTTCACAAACATTTGTGGAATTTGTTTCCGATTGATTGTATGTTTAAATACTAATATCTACAAATGTTTACTCATTTTAATTTCTATTTCACAAGCTTTGATTAGTTTGAGACTAAATCATTGTTGAGGGTTGTCCGGGCTTCATGTTCGATAATGTGAATGTCTTGTAGCGGCATACATTTTTGCAAATTATCGATTCAGCAAACCCGAGCCGAGCAACACAGTGGTTTGGCCTGACAGTCGTCTACGGAACACAGCCTCGCTAGGTCGCTATTGAATGACATAATGAGATTATTGTGTATTGCAAATAATATTTCGTGTTTGTATCACAGGACAATATGCTAAGTGAATTTCATAAACTGTTTAATTTATCTCTTCCGGACTTTGTTCAAGGGTCTCCAAAATTGTCAAGGGCTAAGTGTCTAGTATATATCTACCTAGTATTACATAAATTTAGTTATTCAGTCGCCATAGTAAAAGTTTTATTTTCCGCTAGACCTCCGTTAGATATGATCCTTTTAAGTTGTTTCCCCTCTTCACTGGGACAACCTCTCTACGTTAATGCTGTACTTATAAGTCCCCTTAGACTACTGTGTTTGTACGTACAAGGGTTCATAATATCGAAGTCCAGAATGTTACAATAAATAAATGTTGTTAAACAAATTTTTATTTAATAACTAGCTGCGTCCCGCGGTGTTTCCAGTTTATTAAGGATATTTTCCCGTAGTAGAACGTAGCCTGTGTTGATCCCGGGTGTCAGCTAACTCCATACCAAATTTTATTAAAATCGTTCCAGCCGTTTAGATGTGAAGAACTAACAAATATACACACGTATACACACAAGGCAAGCAAGGCTGTCTTGCTCTATGTTTGTCCCAAAAACATAGAGCAAGATGGCCGCTGAACAAGAACAGGACAGGAAGGAACAAGATACACCAGGTTATTATATGTTTTAAACATTTATTTGCTAGATTTATAAATCTAAAGAAAATTACGAGAAAAAAATCCACTCGGTTCAAAATTTGCCTAAATAAGGTTTTTAACCATGTTAACTTTTTTGTAGTAAGTGCTCCCACACGTAACTGCGAATTCGCATCGCATAATATGCGATGTTCATATTATGAAAGCTGATGGGAACTTGACATATTGGTATTTTGGTCATATTTTCCCATTCCTATTCATGGCAATTTAAACAAACCGTATGAACTAGCTTGTTTGATTAAATTTCTTGAACGTCTATAGTGGCCATGGGTACCTATTCACATTGCATTAAAATCACGTTTTTGTTGACAAAGGACGGTCGCAGACTTCCCAAGCCCAAATTGTACAGTAATCTAGGTAATTTCTCTACCAGAGTATCATCCTTAGTATATCCTTTTGTGGTTTTCATGATCCATTATATCCGGGATAAAGTTTTAAGTATTCTCTGCAAGGGATTCGATTTTACGGTTACGAGAAAAGGAATTTTCATTAACAAATAAGTACCTACCTAACCACTTCGTTAATCAAAAGTTTCACAAAACGTACCCATTAAAACGTACTCCATAAAATACTTTTTCAATTTACATAACAAAGGTTTGATCAAATTGTTTTAATGTTAATGTATACTATTGTAGACTTTCTTAAAATTTCATCATCAAGCAGTTATGTGCTTTTAAGATACATTATTAATATATTATTAAGAATGATATTAATATTACATTCGAAACCAAGATTTGATTACGATTTATTTTGGAAAAGTTCTTGTTTTGATATGTATATATATACAGTAGAACCCGTTTAATACGATCACGTTTAATACGATTTCTCGCATAATACGCCATTTAGCGTCAGTCCCTGCAACTTGAGACATGTTTTCATACATTTCTTAACGCTTAATACGATTCGTCAACCCGTTTAATACGCCTGAATCGCCAACTCGTACCACATATATTTCCTCTTGCAGCAGCATAAAATTCAATGAGAATATGAATAACACAGAAGAAGAGGCCCTAAGTGATATTCTTTCTCCCCTGCCCCCTTTCATATAATCACGATTTCAAATGGTGAACTATGTATGTATAATGGTAAAGTGGTACGAAAACCGTAAAACCGTGGAGCTCAATGGTAAAACCATAAAATACCGTAAAACCGTAGCCTGGTTTAGGGAAGTAAGTGGATATACATAAAGTGCAATGTACAATGTGCTGTTTGGGTTAAATTATATTTGACTTAAATTACGGTGCATTATAATAAAATTCAAAATCTGATAAGTTGCAAGGCAATAGCGTTACTCACATAAAAACTCAATGAAGTCTGGCGGCGTTATTTACTTTGCCGTATACCTGTAGGCAGGAAATTATTGGTCATGGCAATTATTTCTATGCTAAGAAAGGCAAGCGACTTACTCAGGACTGTAAATCTAAAGAACAAGACTAAAAGATGGAAGATTAGGAGAAAATTATCTATGAAATTGAAACGTCGACCGTATTACTTATACTTACAGCCTTCAACGAAAACATCAAACTAGAGATAAAGAGACCCTTTATATTAACTTTCTCACTTTGATGTTTCAATGGATGTGAATATCGATTGTGAATCGTGTTAAGGTAATAGGGATGACGACCAACTTTTTTTCTTCGTTTATCAGGTAGATTATCAAAAAGTATTGGACACGTATTTTTTCTTCCTTCAAAAAATCAAAACATTACAGAGATATATTAATTTGTAAAGTCGCATGACGTCACTTCTTACTACAATTTTCACGTAGTAGGAGCTCCGAGCCCTCTCAAACTTTAACACGCTTTAGCATTGTTTTTTTGGTTGATTGACAAAAAAATAGGTGTTGATTATTTTTTGATAATTTAACAGACGGAGTGAATAGGATTTCGTTTACTTTGCCTTGCCATCATCCCTATAATAAAGACATTTCTGAATTAATTATAAAATTGAACTAGAGACTACTCATTGATTGAATGTTTAAAAAGATTACGACTTGTAAAAACAATTTCATTTATCTCTTCTATCCATTAAACCTTTATCGGATAGCGCAAAAGCGTAGATTAACTTTGATGAAGTGAATTCAATGCAAACTTTACTCCGTTATCTTGTGAACTGCGATGTTACTGGTTGTAGTTTTACAAATGAATGGAATGGATGAAATTGGTGCTTAGTACTTTCATACGATAGTAACGAAGGAAATGCAAGCAATTCAATTGCAGTAATTAAAATATCAGTTTTCACTTTGTCTAAGCTAGGTTTGTTGACAACTACAAACAATCATTCCAATTTCATAGTTACTAAATATATAATAAGGAAAAATTTATACGTACGTATTTTGATTGTGAGAGTCAGTATGGGACGCCGTTGGTGGAATAAACCTCGCCAAAGGAGGTTGTAAGATCAACTGCCTGAAGGTCTGTCTGAACTGCCTCGACATAGAGCAGTAGAGGATGAAGTTGATCGACCCATTCAAGAGAGCAAGTATATCCATCACTTCTCCTATCCTATTGTAGCACATCTTGAAGAAACACCACCCTAGAAGGCCGCTCATTAGCCCCAGAATGCCTTGTGGCAGTTCCGTTAGCAAGAAAAGTAGCAACACTGCTAGGAGCATTTTTGTCGTCCTGTCTGTTCTCTTGTCTGCCTTGTTCTGGCGTTTTATCATGTTCTCCGCAGCGGAGGAGGAGTTGTAGTTTCTCATTTGTTTCTGATGCTGGTTCGCTTTGTACAGCGCCCGTATCAACCACACGCTGATGACTGTCAGGATCGAGCACGGAAGCAGCTTTATTAACACTGAATGTACCCAGAAGTTCGCCTGGTACAGTCTTCCGTCGTAGTCCGACTCGAGGTGGTACGCTTTGTTATAGCCTCCGTGGCCATCGGGAACGTTTTTCGTGTGAATATCAAATACCTGAAAAGAAAGAAAGAGCATGAGATTTCATATATGTATATACACATACATACATAGTAAGGTTAGTAATAGCTCTAGTGTGCGACATCTTTTATGTGCTTATTCAATTTTTTTAGGAACTTCATTTCTGAGGGACCTTTTGTCAAATTAAAATAATCCGTATATTATTCCAGAGTAAACCAAATTACCCAATATTTTCTAAATCTGTTGTTGTTATACAGAGTTATCCTTTCGCTTGAATCTTTTTTTTTGTTGTTATTAACAAATTTTTCACTAATAGCACAACGTAGATACTATAAATAATTCTGGTGCTTCTTTGTCTTAAAAAAATTAAGTCAACTTTGACTGTCATTAGCAAGGAATTTTATTATAATAACGTAAATATAATTACCATGAAAGTAGGAATGCAAAGTATTGGAGGTATTATAAAGCTGGACAGTATAGCTATACTACACCGCTTTTCTGTGCATAGGATGTGACTCCTGTCTGTGTACCTGAAATGAAATAGTTTTATTTTTATTTTTTATATCTGAAAATGTTTCTGCTACATTTTTGCTTACATGAAGGTTATTGAAAACTCGCGAATCAAAATCCGATAGGGACTCTCTTTCTTGAGAAATATTATACATTTATTTACTGTTTTCATCTGAACTTTGAATATGAAATTTGGCGAATATAATTTTCCGCATATGTGCTGGTTGTCGTATATAATATCTTGCTATTATGACGTTTGCGAAAATCATATTCAGCAGCAGAGGGAAACCATTTAATTTAGAAATCCCCATTGATTTATTCCCAACGGTGAGTACTCTATTTTCCCCTTATTCCCATTGGTTAAAATAAACGCAAGCTGCGTTTATTTTAGTGAGGATTTTCGGAACATAAGATCAACTATCCTCTACAGAAGTTAAACAAAAAATGCGTAAATTAACAAACTTTCGGCGGTCAGAAATAACAAAATTAAATCGAAAGCGTTAGCGTTTTCCAAAGCATTTCCGTTAGGCGAATGGCCCCCAGGCGGGTCATACTCTCATTGGCCACCCTTGTAACATTAAATATTAACTAAAATACGTAGTATAATATCGCTGCGGTCTTTTGAAGTTTGGCGGTTATTTCCTCTGTTTTTAACACACAACCTTTTTTAGGCTTTACAGTTATAATGATGATGGTAATACTAATTTATAATCAAATAATTTTAGTTGTATTTCAGGATAATATGGTTTATTATATTTAGAATAGTTTCACCATTATTTAAGTTTACCCTCCATTGAAACACGGAAACCGTCAGATGTTTATCCATATGCGCGTACGTGAAGTAACTGCTTAATTCGCACTAACAATCCCTAATAACGACTGCAATATTCGCTGTGGTATAAAAGAGACGTATTCAATTAACTCATGGCAACAGCCCTATAAAAAGAGGAATAGAAAAGAGAAAAGTTTTTATTAGCCATTAAAAACACTTACAACAAGTTAAAAGGTAAGTACATATAATTTTAAATGCAAGGGCTTATCAGAACCCTGCCTCAGCATTTTGATGTATATTATTAAATATATAGTTTAAAAAAGGAATTCAGGAATAAGTCACCAACAAAAGTATATAAGTAGATACTTATAAATTTATTATTTTAAACATTCCTACTCATTTAAATTAGAGTAATTAGCGAGAATGCTACAATGTAAGTACTTTGTTTTTTATAAGTCTCCGAGAGTTCGCCACTTGCAATAGTATAGAGGTACTTAGTATTAAAAAAAAAATACTCACTTAATGGCAATGTATCTCCAGATGGCCAATGATAAGGTGAGGCATATGGAAGCAGTGTGCAGGATTTGAGCGAAGTGCATGTGGAACAGCAGGTATACCGCCCACGAGTATGGAAAGTCCAACTTCTCAGGCAGCACCTATTGGAAAGACGTAAACATTTCTAATTACAAAGTAAAGTTCCTACACTTATATGCAAAATTCAAAGCTATCAAATTATATCTCTCGAGGCTAGTTTCTGTGCCCAATGCTACCATACCTAGTGGTTATCGAAAGGAGTACATCCCCGAGTGGAAATTGGAATAAGCAAAGTGAATTGCTATTTATGGAGTATCAGGCCTCTGGGTGCCACAACACGGGAGTCCAACTACTAACAACTTTGGAGGAACACAGAAAGGAAAAGTGGACAGAAACGGTTATGGTCATGGATTTTAAGATCTCGAGCAGAAAAGCTTGAAGACACCAAAAAACGGCTGACTGGTATAAAGAACAATAAGTACACAACGCTTCATATTGACGCTATAGCGGAAAGAATAGTTGATGTTACTATGGAAAAAAGAGACTCTTGTGCTACAAAGCGTATCCAGAAGCAGTTCACCCAACTCCAGTGTAATATGCTAACAAATGACCATCTCACCTTTCTCGTTACTTAAACCCTTAATGCCATTAAACAGTTAAAACCTGGTAAAGTCATCGGTCCCGATGGGATAAATAATTATTTTTTTCAGAACATGGGTGAGGTAAACATGGAAGATATCAAAAGCAAACGCAGGAAACTTAATAACACATTGCTGCAGGACTCGGTGCTTTCGCCACTTCTTTATAATCTGTATATTCACGATCTACCCAAAACCATGTCCAGGTAGGTTATATATATATTTTTATATGAGGCTAGCCACACGCAACAACATCCTACGTAAACTCAGTGGTACATCATGGGGCACATCAGCTTATGTCCGAAATACAGCACCGAGTCTCGTGTATTCTGCAGCAGAATGTTGTGCGCCTGTATGGTGTGAAAGCAACCAAAGCAAGGTGGTGTGCAAATATTCGACGAGATTGGATGATGGATTGGAGAAGGTATATGATTACAATCCCGTTAATAAGCTATAAAGTCACGTTTCAGTTTTTTAGACGCTACAGTGCCCACAGTAACATGCATTCTATGAAAAGGACATTGTTCAGCGTCCATACATAGTTAGCCTAAGAACCAACAATCATGAAATATTATTTTCTAGGTTCAAAATCGTAAGTAAATGACTGTAAAAACAAAGATTATTGACGGACACTTCTAAGAACTTTAATTATTAGGAAAACTAAAATTTTTTTGAGGTTATCTTTAATATTCAATGAAACATAGGTCAACCTATGAATTTAGTATGAACTCAGTATGAAGTGAATTAATATTACAACTAATTAATTTTATTTGGTGCGATTTTAAAGAATAACTATTAGGAAAAACTTAGTTAGGTAGGAATCATGAATAAAATAAAAACTGTAGTTTTGCTTCTTATATATTGACTATTTTTCACATAATTGTATCATATTGTTTATTGTATTTATTTGTATATCACATGTATATTGTGTAAATATGCAGCGTGAATGTGTATCAGGTGTTCTAGAATAATTTGGCAGTATGATCCTCTCAGGATGTTGTGGCACAGGTTCACTAGCACTTGGTAATAAGGGCTCTGCTTTTTGGTAACATCGATGGCATAATGGCATATTAGATAGCCGAAATAGTTAAATTAAAGGAAAAACAATCGCAAATAAACACACGCAACAGGTAATCCGAAACGAGAATGCACTTTCCGGTATTATTATTCGCTATGTGCGAAGTACATGGTGGGGGTATAGTGAAGCGATCGCAGCGCTTATCGTGGCAGAAATACGCAACAATTCGGGAAAGTAAAGTCAATTTGCACGGAGTTCGTAATAAACAAAAATTTTTTAAAATGCCTATTAATAGATGTTGTTGTGTTGTGAATTGCAAAAATAAGGGCACAAATAGTCTGTGTATATATTTCCTACATTGGACTGGAAATTAAATCAAAGAAATAAATGGATAGATGCCATAAAAAGAAATAAGTAAGCGAAATAACCTTAAATTATGATCAATTTTATTTGCGCTATATATTTTATGTGATATTCATTATTGTCTTTATTATTTTAGTGTTGATGGGTCGCCATGGTATCCCAAACCTGACGACACAATTTGTAGTGAACATTTTATGGGAAACAAAAAATCAGACGAGGAAGAAAATCCGAGTTATGCTCCTACGATATTCCCTGAAATATATCGAAAGAGGAAGGTTAATGATTCACAGGTCCTAGCTAGATATACACGCTTGACAAAACGAAGAACCACAAAAGTCTCAGATACCACATCAAGTCAAATAATAATTGAAGAAGGGAGTGAATTAAATCAAACTCAACCTTTTATGATCGATCAAGGATGTCAAGTCAATATGTTTTCTGAATCGAAATTAAGAGATACAACTTTTATTTGTATTAGATTAATTTACAGTGATCACTGTGATCCAACATCAAGAATTTTAATGACAAATAATTCAAGAAAGAAAGATAAAAGCTGTGGCACTGACAAAAAATCGTATGAGGATCAATCTACCGAAACAAAAAGTCAAGAATTTGTTGGTATTTCATCAATAACAAATGATCAAGAATTCCTAGATCCTTCTGGTGTGTCATTTAGCAATTTTGAGTTTTTATTAACAAGATTAACTATGAGAAAATGTACAGTTTCCACTAAAGACCGACTTCTGATTTTTTTGATAAAAATGAAAACTGGCTTGACATTTTCAGCATTGAGTGTGTTATTTGGTGTACAAAAAAACCACAATCTCACGTATATTTCATTCGATCTTACAAAATCTAGCTTGTTCAACTGCTAATTTAATCTTTTGGCCGAATAGAGCCACCGTACAAGCACCAATGCCCAAGTGTTTCAGTCCAGATTACATCAATACAAGAGTTATTATTGACTGTACTGAATTCCGAATTGAAATCCGACATTATTTAAATTATTATACAATATATAATAATTTTTATTTATCTTTACCTTACTATATTTACTAGAAATCAATAAAATACAAACTGATGTTATTATTTGGCATAATCCCGGAAAGTTGCGCATTGTAGGTGGCGCTACTGTCGTGCACATAGCGAATACTACTCTTTGGAATGCACGAATGCCACAGATTACTACGAATGCAAACTGCATGCACCACAACCACAGAGTAACAGTTTTATACCGGCCCTTCACTTGACAACATTTTGTCCTTGTCATGCTTAACAAGGAATGAAAAGGACAGACTGATGTCATGTTTTAAAATAGCAAATACGAATAGCCAAGTGAAGTGCCGCTGCCATAGATTATACACATAAAATGGTATTTATTGTCTCAGATTATTTTTTAACTTTTTAATTTAGCTTACTTAACTGGAAGTGTCCGCCACAATCTAAATACTGATAATTATCGCAAAAAATATACTAAGAATTATCATAAATGCCAAATTGGTGTTGGTTCCTAGGCCAATTTTAACATTGTCCTTTCAGTATGTAAGCCTAAGAACTAAAATTTTCAAATAGCAATAAATATTCTAACACACACCATTTATAGTCCTAGCCCTAAAGTAAGTATATAAGTAATGGATAGAAATACATATAATGATACATGTTTCAGTGGAAAATTATTTTAGAAATGCATTTAACAGCTGTGATTTAGGATAAATATTTCTTTAGTGAATATCCCGGGATTCGGATAAATACTACTTACACCACGGAGATAGAAGATATAACCTGAGTCTAGAATGTGAACTCACCAAATATCTGTAAACAGCGAAAGGCACGTACTCCAGCATCACGAAGACATCGGCGACGGCCAGCCACTTCAGCAGTCGGTTGATGGGAGCGGCGGCCATGTCTCTGCGCGTGAGCACCGCGATGTTCATGCTGTTGGCGATCAGGCCTATTATGCAAACCTGGAACAAACCATCCATCTTAGTAGATGTCTACCATACTTATAAGTTTAATAATTATTTGGTTAAATTAGCTCAATGGCGCTGATGGTTACCGCGTTCAAGCAGTTTTTCATATTTCATGACAAATGTAAGAATGTATTAAATGATCTTTGCTTATAAATGTTTGTATACCTAGTTGTAACAATTTGATGTTCCATCAAAACGGGTAATAAAAACACTGATATCGAGATCTTTTTTTTTAATGTTTCGCAGATTTTTTTCAGTGTCGTTTCCCATTACAGAGTCTATCTATCAACCAATAAAAGATAAAGGACTCGCCAACCGAGGGTTCCGTATAAATTTACCATATGCGGCCGTATCTTTTATAACGTAATCAAACTTACAATTTTGATTTTTTCACAGCTTCTAGGCTTTTGTGTATTTGGAACGATAAAAACGACGGCCGGACAAAGTGATCCTATATGGGTCAGGTTTTTTTTCTTTTGAGGTACAGAACCTTAAAAACGGAGTGATATGACTATATTCTTATTTATTATCTGGCTATATTGGGCTATAAATCAGCAGTATATTAACAAATAAATTGATCGATGGACAGAAAAATGTTCTGGGGCTAATGCCCCATATATTACAAACAAAATCATCAATATTCTCTCATTCAAGATGTCAAATCCCACTTTCTCAAAGAACGTATCTCTCAATTTAATATTGCCACCACATTATATTGCGCTTTTAGTACTGCTTTCATTAAATATTTATTGGTCTATTTGTCGAACACAGATCACACATTTTCCGGATATACTACCCACTTACAAAAACCGAGAAGTATGTAGGAAACGCATTTTTCCCATTTGCGAAGTTGGCGCCAATTCAATTCTGAATAGTACATGGATCGTTTATACATTAAAAATATATTTATAATGTTTTCTTGCTTATTCCTGTTGTTGTATGTTTGTATATATGTACAATATAAAATATAAAAAAAAAACAATGATGGACTTTAGATTTCGCTAAAACATAATACCTACTCAAAATTTAACAAATTCTTTGTTCCATTTATTAAAGTAGGCTTCAACAAGCTTAGCTAAAGTTGTTTTTGAGAGGGGCAAGACATACACATATATTTACCGTTCCCGGATTTCCCGTTGGAATTAGAGCGCCCATCTAGACGAGTAACCTCCCCTCTAATTTATTATGGGCTACCCATCTATATATATACCTTAGAGAGGTAAAAGAGCATTATTCACAGACATAGTGAATAACCCAAGTGTACTTCGCATGCCAAAAGGAAGATCAAAGGTCATTCTTTTTCGCAAATTTAGTCGCGTCGCCGTTCTTGATACCGGACGTCTATCGTAATGTTAAAAAAAATATTTAACTTTATAGTAATATGCTGTAAAAACGATATAATTGAAATGGGGAACTGGGGCCCATGCTTTTTTATCACTTATATGTTATTTTCCTGAGTACCTACTCAAATTCTGATACGCTTGGTTTCCATAGAACTTGAAGTACATGCGGCAGCGCGGCGTCTACTTCAATCAACGTCTGTGGCACTATCTCAGATATAGAGGCGAATGGATCGGGGTGTTTCACAAGGATAGGCTCTTGGACCACTTCTGTGGAACCTCGGTTATGACTGGGTGCTTCTCGGGCACCTGTTACCCCGTATGCGAGGTGCTTGGCCATGGCGGGTGCTTTCCTAGTCATAGGGCGTATTTGCCAAAAGAGGATGGAGGTGGCCGTAGAAAAAACGGATGGGACATCTAGGCGGATATCCCCGATATGGAATGGAAGAGAGGGATGGATTGCGTAATCATGCATCAACTCCCTGTGCTGGGGCAAGTGTAGGTGACTGATAACCACCTGCACAATTCTGGGTACCTTGTATGGGAAGAGGTTTCACGCACCTGAGCTTCTGCCGCTCACGAGGGGGGACCAGAAGGTTCTTTCAATAGGGATAGTGTGGCCCGGTGACTCGGAAATGGTTTCTCGGGTACCAGTTCCAATCGAATCTCTATTGTTTAAGTAATATCATTGGGTAGGACTCATCGAATGGATTTCCGTTAGATGAGTCCATAGTCCGCTTTTCAGGCGGCGAGGTAAGTGTTACGCATTTGCCCTCCGCCAAAAACATGGCAGTGTTGTGTTTGTGTTTCTAGATCGCCCTGATATATCACTATTTCAGGACAGGACAGGAAGACAGGGTAGGCAACGTGCTAATAATACTTTCACCACCAGGCGGCTCACAATAAGCTGGTTTGTTTCTTTTTGACATAAAAGATGAACAGAATAGGAGATCTGGCGGATTGGCGAGTGCTATAATGACTATGTATGCAACTTCTTACAAATTTATTTTTATTGGTTTAAACTTCGCATCAATACTGTACAAATTACCTTTATGATAAAATAATCACTATAATTCTAAAAGGCAATAAATTCATAAAAAATAAATCAAAGCACATATAAATCTAAGGTAGTTTGGAGGAAGTAAATTGTTGATCACCCATCCTGTTTGGCTATTCACTATATAAACTGGCGAAACAGAGACAATTACAGACCCTACTACTACTACTGTACCATCGAGATCTTCGATTCTAATGTTAATTAAATACCTATTGTTTCAAGAGCACATAAATTATAGAAGGTTCGGACCGTACTTGATATGAGAAGATGAGAACGCTTAAGGTGCGGAACATACGAGGAAGCTAATCGAACTTCATTTCGTTTTCCCATTTTTCATACTTGGGTTCATGACCATAAATAAATATTATAAGCTTAAGATTTTTTTCTGTGTGTTACCTACAATGCGAAGAGATGGCGCTGCTTTGCAGTCTAAGGTTAGAGAAAATATGATAAGTTTATATGGGAAACCAATTTTTTTCCACCTACTAGTAATACTATAAATCATAGAGCATTTATTCATTAAAGGTATATGCTCTAAGTTAGAGGTTACAGTCGAAACCCTGTGCAATCTACCAATTTCACAGATCACAGTAGTTCGTCCAGCATTTCCGTTGGTCACTTAGAGAGACTGCAGAAACCAAAAAAATGGGCTCGATTTGAAGGCTCCAACAAAAATTTCAGTTTTTGAGTTTCATTTCATACATAAGATTGTTATTTTTTCTAGTTATATTTTCTTTAGATTTAAACATCAAGCCTGCTTTAAAAATAATAAAAAAATATAACTATAATTGCTATTTCTTCTTTTAAATGTTTAATACTTGTAAAAGTATTCATTTGACATTGTGGGTTACCTATAATGCGAAGAGATGGCGCTGCCTAGCAGCTTAAGAATGGCTAGAAGAATTTCGACGCGGTCCGTGAGGGCCGCGGTAGCATAATTGGTTAGTGCTTTCGCCCGGATTGCGAAGGGTGCGGGTTCGAGTCCCGTTTGCTGCCTGGTCCGCGTGGATTTTTTTCTAGTTATATTTTCTTTAGATTTAAACATCAAGCAGTTACCTGCTTTAAAAATAATGAAAAAAATATATTTATTTTATTTCTTTTTTTCGTGTAGAATTAGTACAGTCAATCTGTCGAAAAAAAAAATCGTTTCAGTGAAAAAAAAACCTTAAGGGTAAGTCTTGTTTTTTCTGTTGCCAAATAACGTCAGTAAGCCACCTTGGCGATGGGCATATTCAACTCGTAGGCGTTTTTTGAAAAACTCAAAAAACCCTCAAAAAATTTTTGAAACGCATTTTTCTTGTTTTGTATGCATTTTAGAAACTTTTTTTTTTGGACCTTAATTGTAGAGGGCGTTGAGTACTATAATTTATGTCATTGTTGCAATCTCGTACAACAAAAAATGCGCATTGTAGGTGGCGCTAAAGTCTCAAAAAAGTGTTTTTTCACTTTTTCATCCTGAAAATATCATTTTAATGGAAAACTTTAAATGGAAACTTTGTTCCGTACACAATTACCAACAAATTTGGATAAACAATTTTTTTGTATTACTTACCGTTTTCAAGTTATAAATTGCGCAGGTATGAAAAATCCAATAGAGCGGTTTGGGCAGTTCAAGTACACATTTGCTGTGCACATTTCAATGTACGTTTTACTATTTTTTAATTTTTTTTCATGATTGTAATAATTTGGATTTGTTATTGACATGAAATATCGACAATTAGAGCTTTGGATTCATTTTCTTGCATGAATTAATTGTAGGAACAAAAGTAGTTGATAGAAAAATGAATATTTTGTCGAACATATGAGATAAAAATTCTAAATTGTTATTAACTTATTTCCTGCTGTTAATGCATCCGAGCAACATTTGGAAAAAAATATTTCAGATGTGCAACTTGAATTAATACATGATAATCGCTTCAAAGTTCAATAATAAAGTTTAACTCCAAGAATATGAATTTAAAACAACATGTTTTTATAAACAATTGTAATCGTTATAGCAAAAAAATCAAAAAGCTTGTAAGAATTTAAAAAAAATTGAGGGTTTTCTTTGAGTTTTTCAAAAAATGCCTACGAGTTGAACATGCCCATCGCCAAGGTGGCTTACTGACGTCATTTGGCAACAGAAAAAACAAGACTTACCCTTTAGGTTTTTTTTTCATCACTCAACCTACAGATTGACTGTACTAAATATGTATAGAATTTCGCATCTGCCCAGGGAGTCACGTGACGGCTCTATTTTTTTAGTTGTTTAGCTGTATGTTTTATGTTTAGCTGCTATCAATAACGTAAACAATACGTGACGTATAACAATATTAACGTAAATAAAAGAACTCAAAAAGTCATTGCTTTGTGTGTGGCCTGCGCTTTATAACCAAGGGAAATGTCGATGTTGAGAACAATGCGAGAAATCTGTAGTTGAATAACTGCTTATTATGTGAAGCATACGTGTAAAGCTCAAGGCGTTCCAAATCAATTGAAATCTATCGCCGTGATACCTCTTGTGGAGTTCTGAAACCCACAGATCACAAAGACAGCCATTCAAACCGTAACAATAGAAGCTAATAAACTTATTAATTGTGTTTGATAGTGAACTATCATACACCTATGCATACAACTTTGGAATCTATAACGTGGTTCGGGTCTGTATTTCGTAGAGTTGTCCGCAGAATTTCAATTTGGAACGTGTAGGATCATGCCAAGATGTTTCAAATAACCTGCCAATACAT